GTGCAGACGGTGGGGGGGGGGGGGGGGGGGAGGAGGAGGAGAGCCACGGAATCGCGGACCCCGCTACGGACGGAACAATGCGACCACTCGGGCAGGAGCATTTAATTGTTTCCGCTCCTGTCCGCCGTCGTTTTCGTTCCTGCGGAGCGTTCTCTCTAAGCTGTCTCCTTCCCGCTCGTTAGTGAGTTTCTCTCTCGGAACCGGAAGACGTCGACGTTGCAGAGCAACGTCTCTTCTCTCTCCGGCCGTCATACGCCGAGTTGCGCGCGCGGTCACGCCATCGGTCCGAAACGATTTAATTTATTTATTTTGTAAAATTCCGCGTGGATCGCGTTAACGACGCAGTAAGCTGTAATCGAAATCGATTGTTGCAACTATAAAAATTAAAATAAATAACTGTAGTTCTGTAGAAATTGATATGAATTAAATGAAATTAAAGTATCCTTAAATTACCACAGCATAAAAAGTTAACTCTCGATTGTGCGAATTAAGAGGTCATATTTTACAAAATATATATAAACGTTCGTTCTTTTTTTTATTTCAATCATTTCTTGAAGAGTGAGATTTATGATTTACTTATAAACTAAAAAAAGAGTAGTCACATACACATACATTTCTCATTTCTTTACAAATTATGTAGATTTTTCTTTAAAAAACTCGAGTTTTTAACGAGTTATTTTGAAGATCATATTAGTACACATAACCGCGCAGCTCAAGTGGACCCGATGTGTGATGCTGAAAGTAGAACGAGGTCGAATTTCACATGTTGTCACGCACAACGGTATGCAAATATGTACAAAACGCCCGGGAACATTTTATGGACCGTTGTTCTTTTGCTTGTAAACGGTTATTATAAAACGGGACACCCCTACTTAATATAGGTCTTAATCGTACTATTTTCCGCTGCTGTTTTATTTCAATGTGCATTAAAAGAAGCTATTAAATAGCATAACATTTAGTCGTAACTCTTTTGACATTTGACAGGATGTATGCCTAATCTTGAAATCTAATTCTTCATCTTTTAATTAGTACAAAAGGTTTGTATTCTCGAAAAATCCCAATCTATAAAATTCTATATTTTTGATAAATTTGTTATACCTTTTTTTATACAATTAATATTGAAACAAAGTTTTCGTAAAAGTCTTCGTGCTTGCGGAGAATACCGTCTCTACTAAAGAGGCAGATGAAACTCTTGGCGAACTTAAAAATTCCCTTTGTACTTGCTAAGAGAAGACGCACTTAATTGTACATTTTTCAGCTGTATCCAAAACCTTCTGCATGTGCGAGACGCACATTACAAATTAAAAAAAAAGTATTTTAATAACTAAATGTTATTGAAACTTGAATATTCTCACATATAATATAGAAAACCTCACTAACTTAAAAATTAAAAAAAAAAAAAGAAAAAGACATTTGTATCAAAGAATTCTAATAAGATAAGATTATTTTTTTCTAAAATTTTATTTGCGTCTTGTACATATAACGATATCAATCAAAATAC